GGGCCCCCGCGGGTCCCGCCGCCCCGACAGCCAGCGACGGGCTGGCTCCTGCGGCAGAGGCTGTCCCTCTGACACGCGGAGGACCCACGGAGGTTCCGGTTCGCTTGGGTTTATTTCACTGTTATTTAAGTGAGTTTAGGTCCCCAGAGGAGCATGCTTGTTTTGGTTCTGTTTAGCTTGTTTCTAATGCTTGTGAGATAGACTAATTTTGATTTAATTTGCATCAAACTGTGGCCATTAACAGAGGTAGTTTGGTGATTTTGTCGGGGGCAGTTTAAGATCGACCCCTGTGAATGTAAACTACCTTGGCCCTTGGCCCTGCCAGGGATTGTCTCCTCACCTGAGAGCATCTGGGCTGTGAGCTGGAGCAGCGGCAGAGCAATACGCCCTCTTGTTTTGCTTCCCCTGGAAAAGGGGATGCTCCTCCAGTGCAGGAAGGCTGGGGATAGCTGGGAGCGGTGACAGCTGAGCTCTCGGGTGGTGGTCAGCAGCAGCTGCCTCCCAGCTCCCATCCCAGAAGAATGGTTTCGCGAGCGCCGGGGCTCAGCGCCGCAGCCCCGTGGGAGGGGAGCAGCACCTCTGAACCCGGGAGCCTGCCACATCGGCTCCGCGGGGGGCGGCGCCTTTTTTTTGCTCGGAGCAGAGCTGCTCCTTCAGCTTTCAGTGACTTAGGGCAGCGGGGTCTAGGAAGGGAGTAGTTTGTCAAGGAGTTAAGGAGGGGTGGGAGTGATAGAGGAGGTGATAGAAGGAGAAGCCTGGCATAAAAGGCTGGCAAAGGGATGGGATGTGGCAGAGGGAGTAAGGGCTGGGTAGAGGTGGAGAAGGCAGGAAGATGGAAGGAGCGGAGACTTAGCTGGCTGAAGTTGTGCAAATTCTGAAGATTCAGTCTTCATGTTGGTTCTTTCTGCTGAGCTAATGTGAGTAGCTGAATAAACACTGATTTTAATGACTGAGGCTCATGTTTTTTAACAACCTCCATCATGCCTGTGTAATATGGGACAACTAATTACATCTGAATAATGCTTGCAAAAAGTTAACACGCTTTTCACAGCATTCTTTGATTTGTTTTTAATCAACGTTATTTGTCTGCTTGTTCTTTTCCTCAGTGAAAATTGTCATCCGAGGGGACAGGAACACTGGGAAAACCACACTCTGGCACCGACTGCAGGGAAAGAAATTCATTGAGGAATATATTCCAACTCAGGAGATCCAAGTCACCAGCATCCACTGGAATTACAAAAGTAAGATGGCAGAGGGTGGAGGGAGTGACAGTCATGGGACAGTGCCTTGGGGGTAGAAATTCCACTGTAGCTTCTTTTTTTTCTTTCTGCTGTATCTGCTTGGGAGATGAAATGGTGTCTCATCATGCTTGTTATTTTAATAATTTGTTGCCAGTTTCTCAGTCACATTTTTAGTAACTTTACTCAGAAACTATATGTTATAAGTGCTAAAGGACAGGTCTTTGGAAGCCACAATTCAAGGAAAGTGTTTAATAGGTGATACTTGTTGTGTTGTATCCTTCCCCCACACTTCTCTTCCTCTCTCTCAGAATATCAGCGCATCGGTTAGTGGTGTGTGAACACAGAGCTTACGGGTTGTTTGGATGATGGAAACTATCTCCAAAATCAGACTTGAATGCTTCAGCCTACACAGACTTAGATGAGAGTAAGAAGTGAGAGACCTCTTTCTTAGCTATCCTAGTCTAAAGAGTGCACTGAATATTAAGTGTGGTTTTCTGCAAGATCAGGTGAAAGCTCCAGAGTTCAGTTTCGTCTCTGATCAGGGTAGGTAATGCAAGTGCTGTTTGTAAATACAGCCCGCGAGTCTGGCGTTTGATTTCCAAGAGGCTTATTCATGCCGATTTTTTTTTTTGTATACGTGTACAAGTATACAAAATGCATGTATACAGGTTCTTGTATACCTATAAAAAGGTGTTTGGAGACTGTTCCGTTGTGGAAAGATCCAGTCATCTCGCGTGTTTCTGCGTTTTTCAGGGACTCTATGTTCTTTTAGTGAGCTGAGGCTCAGGCTCTGGCTTTTTCAACATGGATGCAATCCCGAGGCAGCAGAGCTACACATCAGGCTGGCTTTTGCTGTGTGTTGGTAACCACAGGTGCATTTGTTGTTTCTAGTGCTTAGTTCTAACATTTCTATGTTTCTGTAGAGCTTGCTGGTTAGAGTGGACAGCAGCGTGTACATAAGGTGATGGACTTTTCTCAGGGTGAAGTGTTCCCGAGCTAGTCTAAATGTCTGGAAAGCTGTACATTAAATTGTGACTTTCATTTGTTTCTTTTACGTTGTAAAACACTGTGTTATTTTCTTAGTAACAATTTCCAGCAGTATAGGAAGTTCTCCACTGACTTTCAGAAATTTTTTTTTAAAAAATAACCCCCTTTTTTGAAAACATTGTAAGATAAGTTTCCTGCTATGAGAACTTTCCATCCAAGATGGGTGATGTGGGGACTCTGAGAAATTGGCTTAGATCTAATTACTGCCCTGTTGGCTGACTTAACCTGTAGAGGAAAAATAAAGTTTGTTTTTCCTATGATCGTGCTCTCAAGCTACCTTGAATAAACGTTATGAGGTACTTGGCAGCAAATATTTACAGATGTTAATTAAATTGCTGTCAAATATTGAAGGATTCTTACATTGCCTGGTATTAGAAGATTTACATTTTAGATGTGGAACATACCACCTTGTCATATCTTCAGAAATTTTATACTGGAGGCATTAATAAAGGTAGAGGAATTTGAGTTATTTCTTCCTACTCAGAATGAGCAAACTTACTTTTCTGTGCCAATTGTCTCTCTAATGGATATTGGTAATTTTTGTGTCCAAGTCAGGAGTTACCCTTGCTGACAGTAATGAACACTTTTTTAGATTATGCTAGTCACCAATTTTATTCTCTGTTCCGCAGTCTCAGAAAGAGAGTCTGAAATAAAAATTGGCAAATGCTTTTGTTCAAATACTTCGAATGCTCTACGGAGGGTTGTGAGGGATGGCAGAGCTGCTCTGCTCTGTAGGATTTGTGATCCGAAGCGTATGAAGTGAACCATGCAATTGCATGAGAGTAAATATGTCTGAGGGCCTGTGAATTCCTGGTGAAGAACCCAGCCATAAAGCAATGGTTCTTATTTTTAAATTTTTTGCAATTGGAGTCTTCTCACACCCCTCCACCCTCTTCTGGGAAAGCAATGTCTTAGTGTGCTACTGGCTACAGAGTGCTGAGCCAAATAGCAGCTGAGTGCAGATCTTTTGAGTGGTTTGATCCATGGTTTATGCTAATCCAAGTTACAGAGTTAAAAGGATGAATTGGCACTCTTTGTTGCTGCGACATGCCTTCCAAAGCCCAAGCCGTTAAGGTGAAATGCTGCTGTGTGTGAGTCACACCAAAGCCAACACAGCAGCACCAAAGTAATTATCCTCTTGTGTGTTCAGGATAATCAGGAATGAAGCTGGTGATGAAAAGGAAGAATTTATGGGCTGGGAGCTAGCAGGAGCACTGGTGCTAACAGGAAAAAAACCCACGTGGAAAAACAGTTTTCTGGGATCTCAGGCAGTCAGTTTCTTTGTGAACTTCTGTGCTTCCCCTCAGATAAAGGGTGTAGTGCAGGGCTGTCTGGGTCAAACGCCTCACCTCCTCGGCTGCCTGGGGGTGCTGCTGCCGAACGGGGTGTCAGGACTGCGGAAATCACTCAGCAGCAGAACAAATCTTAGCTGAGGGTGCGTTTGGTGGTAGGGTAAAGAGGTGGAGATCTCTGGAGCTCGGGAGCAAAGTCCCAGTGCTAGGTAACCAAGTCACCTAGGAGAGCAGTGCACGTCACCCCAAGGGCTTGCTTATCTGAAATGGGGTTCCAGCTGCTCTGCGGAAGCCCCATGTTGGTGCTAAAGTGGTGCTGGGAAGAACAAGCGGCCTTCTGGACTCCTCCTGTGCCCCTGCAAAGTTTGCCATCTGAGAAAGGAGAACATCTCCTGTCCTTCTGCAGAAAGTCTGGGCTGTCGCAGGCGCCAGGATTGCCCGTGTTGGTCTGTCTGTCCCCTTGTCCATCTGGGCTGCCAGCACTGCCGGTCCCGGCAGCAGGGTGTGGGTTTGGGGGGGGCAGAACACCAGCAGCTGGGCTGTGGCCCAGCACCCGCCGGAGCCCAGCTCACAGGGGAGCACACTGTGGTGCCCATGCCGGCCGTGGGTCCGGGTGCCAGGCGAGCGAGTGGTGGGGAGCAGCTGGGCTCCAGCCGTCCCTGCCTTGGTGTTCTGCGGACGTGTTCAGGGGCAGAATGAACTTGGGGAGCGTAATGGTTTGGGCAGAGGTGGTAGGACTGCAGGCCGCTCTGCGCCTGCTGTGTTGTCAGCCCTGCCGGAGCCCGTGGGGCACTGGCCCGGCTGAGCCTGGGCAAGTCTCCTGTTCATCCTGCGCCCCGCTGCCCTGCTGGCAAACTGGAAGATGAGCGCGAGCTGCTGTGAGGACAAACAGAGGCTGGTTTTGCTTCATGCAGAACTGTAAAAAAGGAGCTTTCTCCAGAAGCAGAAGATCAAAGTTTTCCTTTATTCATAATCTGTCTTTACAGTGTTTTGAAACATTTAAGTTAAGCCAACAGTGAATTCTGTAGAGGAAATGTTTCCTGGCTTGACAATGATGCTTAGCTAAATTCTCCTGCCATCTATGAGATTATTTTCTACTCTGAGCCATTATCCTCCTATTCCATTGCTTTATGCTCAGAGCTGCTCCAAGTACAAGCTTGTGCTTTGTAGCCTATAGAATTTCCAGAAAGCAACTGTTCCTTGGAACGACTTCATGCAGATCAGACTGCTTATTTGAATTCAGCAGGAATATCTAACCAAAGCTGCCCCGCCCCGTGCCGTCTGCAAGCTAAGCTGCTAGCTGTCAGTACTGGCAGAGCTGTCTCCGTAATCAGGATTTTAGTTGTCTTGCTTCAGATTTTACTAAGTCAAATATATGTGGCTGCTTATAATTTACTGAAGCTGCAGCTTTGTTAAGAGGCAAAATTGCTAGTAATATCTTATTTTTCACAAAATGTGACTTGAGATTTGCAGAGGGGATGGATTTCTGTAGCCACAGGACTGTCTGCAGTGTTTGCCATGTTTACATGAAGATGCTGTTAGCAAGGTTGATCTTTCTCAAATGTTTATATTCCTTTTTTTTCAGTTGTATGCCTTGCTTAGAGACCAGGCTTTATTCTCCAAATTAAATTTATATCTTTTTTTGAAAGAATATGGAGACCTCTGTATGTTATGAAAAGAATCTACACAAAATATTTATAACATGCCTCAAAGCTGACATAAAACATCAAGGAAATGTAGCTATCACTTATGTGAGTAAGAGTCTTTAAGCAGTTCTTCGGACAGCACAGTTTTGGTGTACAACTTGGACCTTCACCCGCAGGGCGCCTTCTTGTTACATGTGAGTTTTCTTTTAGCTCACTCAAGAATTAGTTTTCTTTTGACATTAATCTCCTACTTTGACAGTGTTGGCATTGGGTTGGGCTCGCTGTGGTGAGCGTTGAGTGTTGGTCATTTTACAGAAACCCTCTTCTAACACTTTGTGTTCTTATTGTGCTTTTAGCCACTGACGATATTGTTAAAGTTGAAGTCTGGGATGTAGTTGACAAAGGTAAGATTTATATCTTCGTTTCTAATGGAGATTCATTGTTCTTTCTCAATTTTAATTAAAAACTTACTTGGAATTCAGAAATACCTACTTACTTCTACGTTAGAAAAATGCCTGTCCTTACTTTTTCAAGTGCATGGATGCTGCTTCCTGAAAAAATGTGGAAAGGAGAGAGGAGTCTCTTGTGCTAGAGCCCATTATTTGTAATCTGAATTTCAGATCAAACCCAATATTCAGAAGCAGTTGTTTCATGTGCTCCGTGACAGATGAAATAGCCTGCTGCTTAGCGTATTCAGATTCTCTGAACTTTATAATAAACTTCATCTTTTCTCCTTTATAGTTTTATACATGCTTAGACAGCTACTGAGTTCTTTGTTCTGTTTATAAAAGTTCTTGCCGGGCTGTTTTTGTAAAGGAATGCTATTGTTAAAATGATAAAATGTTATCTGCAGTGAGTAATGTATGCAGGAGGTAAGGATGAAAGAGAAGCCAATTAGTTAAATTCACTTAGGACAGAAAGTGCAATATATTTAATCCAAAATCTTTTCTAAATGCTTAGCCAAGGAAAATGTTGTGATGTATAAATACATTTTTCATTAGTTTCGAATGTTTATCAGTGTAAAGTTCTATTTTATTAAAAAAATAATTTTAAAAAAAGCCCAAAACATACATGAAGACATAATCTGGGTGCAGTGCAAACCTGGATGCAGTGGAATCTAGCAGTCGCTAGAAGGGGTTGGGGTTCAGCTGTAGATCTGAACAGCCCCAAATGCAGATGCTGTTCGGCTTTTGCGAGGCGTTTTGTGCCAGCCAGGCTTCTGGTTTAAAGTGCGGGTATGGTCAGGAAAGCAGCTCTGCGAGCGAGCAGCTCTTGCTCTGTGGGTTGTGTTTCTTGTTTGTGTGTTTCTGTCACTCAAAGCTCTTGACCACAAAACTTAAACTTCTATGGGTTGGCTGCTGCTACCTTTCCTGCAGCCGTAGCTAGAACCTGTGCTGGCACGCATTCCTCGGCAGAACTGCATCCCAGTGGCACTACCTCTGCTGTACCCCCTGTGCCTTAGCACCGAAAAATAAGGAGGTAAGTACAATAGGGAGTGGGAAAGGGAGAAATTTGTTTTTTCCTATTAGCTAAATTGTATTTAAAATAGTAAAAAAGAAAAGGTAATTAAAGATAGCTGTAGGTCAGGTGCATAACGGAGCCTTTAGATTAAACTTGAGCCAGTAACTTTAAATGAAAATCCTGGGCACTTTGTCTTTTTGTTCTTTTGAACCCCAGTTTTCTCAGTGTAGACAAAACCTTACTTAGGTCAGAGTCACTGCTGAAGTCAGTCTGATTGCAGTTTGGCTTTCAGATCCTGCGATAACATGTGCAGGGCTGGAATCTGCACAAAACATCTGTTTTCTCGCTGCCTTGCAACTTTGGTATGAGTAGATAGACAGTTAATTTGGGAATCATGTGGTTCCAGCATTTATTTCTGTGAATAGCTTCTCTGCTCAAAGTCATCTTCTCAACTAGAGACTTGTCGTTTTTTTGGCAAAACAGCTCGGGTTTGCTATGTGCAGATGTTGGTAACAGCTCTTCTGATGCTGCTTTCGTTTCTGTCAGTGGAGCATGTGTTAGAAATCTCAAGGGACTCTCTTCTCTCCACTTCATATTCTTTTGAAATAGAACTCAGACTGTTAAGATCCCTACTTATGGACCACAGATGTGTATTTTTATGTAATGAAATGTACTTAATCAATGCAGTGTAAAAATTCAGATCATAGTGATATAACAAAATCAAGCCTTTTCCTATTGCCATAGCATTGCAGAGTCTTGATAAGTACAGCTTTAGGAAAACGTGCAAATTAAATGTTAAGAGCTTGCTCATATCTAACTTTCATCTGAATTTTATCTCATGGCATTTTCATTCTTCCTTCCATGTGCTTAGGACAAAAAATCCTTCTGCGCGATGCTTTTGGTGAGAGCGACACTAATCTAGACTGTAGACTTCTGGTAGTGAAGTATCCAGTGCTGCTGCAGCGTAGTGCTGGCAAGACCTGATCCTCCTTTTTTTAATTGCCTACGAGATCCTGGCTGATGTGCATATTTGAGCTGGGCAGAACGCTGCGTTTATCAGGCTGGACTTGAAACTGCCAATACATGTTCTGAACATGCATTTCAACATATGTTATTTTCCAGGCTAAATTTTTTTGCCAGTGTTTCCCCATTTTGAAAGAATTGTTCCTTGTTAGAGAAAATTAAGAGACCTCTATTTAAATTAAGGTGTTTGAAAATGTATTGAAATCTTGATGTGGGGATGTGGCTAGATTGTCTAAAAGACTTATCCATAAACTGCAGCTTTCAACTTTAGTCTTGTAAAGCAGCTTCGACCTCTGCTCTGCCGTGCAGCACTGCCATTCTTTGCATCTCGGTGTGAACGTGCACAGGAGGATTTGGGGAAACTTAATAAGTCGCACCCTGAAAATCTTCGTGTATGTTTTTGCGGTGAAGTTAAATGTGGTTTTACTAAGCGGTGTTCCTCCTCGCGCTTGCCAGCAGTGTGCCTCCCCGTCCTTAGTTCAGCAGCGTGCTGCTCTCCTTTTCCCCTCCGGACTCCTTGTGGAATGCAGCTCTGTTGGCCCTGCCTGGCTGGTGCCTTGGTGTCGTTTGTTTAGCGTACAGATGTTAGTTTGGGAGTGTGGGGAGATTTGTTGTGAAAGCTTGAAACCTGTGAGGTTGGTTAGTGCGCCACTCTCCTGCCCTGCTCCTGTTAGCTTTTTCTTGACTCGTTGGGATTGCTTTTTTTTTTTTAATGTGCAGGCTCCCTGGAGCATGGACTTCCCTGCAGCCCGCTGTGTTCTCCTTGGGCCTGCTCAGAGTGCGGGGCTCATTTGTGTGATGATGCCATTTGTTAACATCTTAACAAGTAGAGCTTGCCTCCAGCTAAGGATATTGAATTTTGTGCAGCGTGTGTAGCAAATACCATCTCCTTTGCCGCTCTTGGAACTAATAGAACATGGGAAAGATACCTGTCAGCAAAAGTCACAGTCCTGACTCTCCTTTCTGGCTTTGCAGCAAGTTGTGTAACTGCTGCAGGTCATAAAGCTGTAACAGATCCTGAATGCAGAGAAGCTGCTTGAATGCAGGTGATCTAAGAACAGTTCGGACATCCTGTCTCGTCACTTCTGCTGTTTTCGTTCTTGCAGTTTATCCCATACACTAACTGAAGGGATCAAATCATTCCTTCTTCTGTGGCCCCCAAAATAGCATCAGCTCTTTCCCCCATACTGGAGATTCCTTTCCTCTCCATGCCCCTTCACCCCTCGCCCTCCCTGAGGTGTGCTGCAAGAAGGAGGACAGATCAGAATTAATATTTCTGTTATTTTCGGATGTCATAAGTTAGGTAGCACTAGGGATGCAAATATTCTAGGCATGTATTTCTGAATGGTGAGCAGAAGCACCTCCCTCGCACTGTGGATGGCATTTGTTGGCAAGCTGTGCTGAATCCTTGCTATCCTGCAGCAAAACGGACGGTACACAGAGGTGCTGGCCATGAGCCCAGTCTGCTGGAGCTCAGTGAGAACTGTTCTGTAGACTTTGGGGCACTGCTGCAAGGTGATTTGGTTTCAGTGTTGCTATCATGCCTGTAAATAAGGAGCAGTTATCATTCTAGGTAGAGAAGCTGAGCAATTGCAGCATGAAGACGCTTGCTTTCTAGTTGATGCTTCTAGGTTACACATCAGTGCAACATGAAACACAAGATCTTGTTTCTGTAATAACACAATCTTCATTGTGTGCTTGCCTTTGCAGGCTAAATTGCATCTTTTCACTACTTACATCTTGCCTTTATCTGGCTCATCCTGCAGTTTTCATTCCAAAAATAGACACTGTGCATGAATATGTACACACATGCGCTTTTCGGCTCTGTTACTCCTTTACAGATGACCTCCTTTACAGCAGCGGTGAGCATCGTGCAAGAGTATTACTCATTCCTCCTGATACACACGTAAAGCCCTAAGCAGGGAGAGGCGTGCGAGTCTTATGTGCAGGCTCGGAGCACTGGTTGTAAACATGTCCAGGTTAGAAAGACACCTTGAATGCTCGGGACGAGAGGAGCTCTGAAGACTATCTGTGGTTGCTTGGGCTTCTCTTGTAATACCTAGAAATTCAGGTCCTGCCAAGCATAATTTAGCTGTAACTGCAGAAATGGTGATGTTTTGACATTCAGAGAAGCCACACAAATGCCACTGACTTGAAATTAATTTAAGTGAAGTGGGGAGAAGGCATGCATCTCCTAGACATCCCACACATTCAGTTGTGCTGGGAAAAATCAGAGTCCGTCCTTGGATCCTCCAGGGAAGCAATGCATGAATGGGGAAGGATCAGGGTTAATATTTCTGCTGCCTTCAGATGTCGACAGTAAGATGACATGAGGGCAGCGAACATTTTGCAGTGATGCCCAGAAGCACCAGCCAGACACACTGTCAAACTTTCGTGATTAATTCTGTATTTTGTAACTATTTATCCTTGACCTGCATGAAAAAAGAATGAAATGCTTTGTTTCACGTGAAGCATCTGACAGAACCGTGAGTTTTACAAGTAGGCGCTCCGTGTTGAGTAGTTGGTGGAAGCTGTTTTGGTCCCCAGTGTTGCAGAGTTTTAGGAGGTTTTGTTGTGGGTGCATCCGAGCTACAAACACATTCTGTTGTCAGTGACACAGGGAATTTCTAGAAGTTACGAGAAGGAGTTCCAAGTCTCTGCCATTATAATTTAGTTAACTCATCATTATTTAGACTAGGGAAATATGGAACAAAGATGATTCAGAAGGAGAGTTCTTAATTGCTGCCAGTAATATCTGGAAGATATTTGGTATCTGTAAAGCTTAACTTCAGGTCTTGCAGGGTGATTTGTTGTGCAGTGCTCATCATTTGATAAAACTCTGGAGACTGCTGTACATAGATAGAGTTTAAACAATACCTGGGGGGCCAGGACAGATTTTCTCCTGGAATTTCCACACGAAACTTCTTCAGCACAAGGCAAAAGATGTCCTTGCTCATACATGTTGAGACTCCCGGCAGTTCTTAGTGCGGTGTGTCTGCACCAGAAGGTCCTGTTAGCTGATTGCCACCCTGCTGATCCTAGGTGCAGATACAAGGTGTCGTCTTCTCCCTGTGCTGTGATTGCAGGCTTGGAGATTTGGAAACATGATTACAGTGTAACTGATGTCACCAAAAATTTTCAGGGAGCCTGAAGTTTAAAAACACCTACTCCTTTTCTGGGGGTGCTGAGTCAAATGCCAGCGGTACTTTAAAATGTCAGGTTGTGAACTTACCCAGTGCTTACTGAAGCTCTAAGAAAAGGGAGAAGTCTCAGGGGGTCTGCCCTTTAAGTATAAGGGCTGTATTTTTAGCACATGCCTTAGAGGAAGCAGATGAGTTGGAGAGATAGCTGGAGGTTCCTCCGGATGGGATTGTGGCTGTGGGACTGCGGGGCGACTCTCGGTGGTGGTTTTTTAGTGTCTTCTCCAAGTGTTTAGCCTGGTGCCTCTTGCAGCTTCTTGTGAGCTTCATCAGAGTTTTACCTGCCCTCTACCTTGGTTTTGTGTGTGTCCAGGGAGTGTGGCTTTGCATGGTGCCTCTGGAGCGTTTTCTTTCTGCACCTTTGCTTGCCGTGACCAGACCTGACCCTCTGGCTCTGGCCTTTCATGCACATGTAGGCTGGCTCTCCTCGACCTCGCCACAGTGTGTTTGATTTTATTTGCATTTCCCCTTGTATAAGTTCTGTCTGTCTTTTGGCGGGTAAATTCTCACAGGCTGCCGCCGCACCTTTTTTTTTGATCACGAGTCAGCCCAAAGCACCCGATGGGCTCTGAGATGACATTTGTTTGCAGGACTGCTTGCTTCAGGTTGGTGACATGGCACGTGTCGCATCATCTCTCAGGAAGGCTGCGTGTGTAGTTGTGCCACTCAGTCGTAACAGCCGCATGATCTTTTGCTTCTTCAACAGTAAAGCAACAAAAAGTGTGCCAAAGCAGCTTCCCTTTGTGGTCAGGGAGTGTGCCAGACCCTGTGTTATTCAGTCATTGTGACTTTACACTGTGAAGACCGTGATTTAAACTGCCCTAGACTTTCTTCCTATTCATCTCTGAATTAGACTACCTGGTATTCTTCAGCGAGGCATGCCTGTCCCACCCCTCCGCGTTCCCTGTGCTTACAGTAGGGTTAGATCTCCTTGAAGGTCACAGTCCAAATGCTGTGGTCCTGCCCAGACCCGTCCTGGAGTTCTCTGCCCAGAGTAATGCATTTGTTTTTTTTTTTTCTTTTTTTTTACATTTCTTTTTAAGGAAAATGCAAAAAACGAGGAGATGGTTTGAAACTGGAAAATGACCCTCAGGAGGTGAGTCACCTTGAATACAGATGCCTGCCTCTTAGCAGGAGGCCTCTAGTCCACCTTTGGCCCACGGAGAGTAAGTTCTCTGTTTCTACTCTAAGGCTGGCCCGGCAGACGGATGAAGGCCAGTGTGATCCCTGATGCTCTGCACTCCTTTGTCTGTGCATTTTATCCTTGTTTGTGCCCTCACCACAACTTTCCTGCTGTTTTCCATTCTGTCTTTTGGGAATGGCTGCGCCGCAGATGTTTGCGCAGCAGCTTTGTACCTGTCTGCACAGGGGCAGTGGCAGGAAGCCCTTTTGTAAGGGGCTTCTGGGGAGACCTGAGGATGTTGCTTGATGCCATGCTCTCTGGCTGCTCCTTAAAACTGGGCTAACAATTACCTTTTAACACCCTTTGAAATATGGAGGAGGAAAGGGCAATAGAAGTGCTACCTAGCACGTAAAAGTAAACAGAGTGGCTGCTCCAGGCTCTTGCACAAATGTGTTTCATTTGGATCTTCTGCTGTAGAGCAAAGTGCTGTGTGGGAGAGCAGACTACCACGTTCCCCAAACCGCATTTGGGCTGCCGGTGGACTTCCATGGCATCCCTTTCGAAAGATGTATGATTCCATCCTCCGGAAAAGTTCAGTTTAAAGGCCCTGGATCCCATGATCTCTGCTGCAGCTCTTAAAGAGCTTTATTGCCCCTGCTCATGTGTCCGTGCCCTTCGGGGCTCAGTGCACAGGCGGTGTTCTGGTACTCGCTCAATAACCGCTTTGTTCAAATTGGTGGGAAAGGCAGCGTCACTGACGTGCAGAGAGCTGAGCCCTCGGTTCTGGGAGTGGGTCAGGGCAGTGAAGAGTTCCCGCTTGCAGCAAGGTGCCAGTCCCGCTTGATCTGTGTGGTCAGGTGAGGAGAATTGTCTTTAAAAATGTTCTCCTATGAGAAAAAAGCCTCTGTGAGAACAGGTATCAGAGCTGCTGCTTCCTTCACAAACATGGGTGCATTTTCCACTCCCGGGAAAAGAGTCGGAGTTGTTCTGTAGGCATCAAATTGCAGCAGGAGCCTTGGAGGTTGAGTTGTGACCAGTACTGTACTTTGCATCGTGCCAGAGTCCAAATGATGAAAAGCAAACTGGGCACTAATAAATACTTTCAGCCCTGCACAGGAGGAACTCGTTAGAAAGTACATCCTGGCTTTGTGCACCAGAAGCATTAGAAGTACAGTCAATATTTGGGTCAGCAAAGAGGTGGAAGGGGAGCTGTGTCCGCTGTCCCCCATCCTGTCACTTATATGGAGTTATCTTGTCAATGCAATGTTTGAGGGCACGGGGAAGAGAGGAGGGGGTGGGTCGTAGCATTTGCTGTCAGACATGTTTTCTACAGAGACTGTCAGTGCTTCACATCCTGCTCCTGTGGGCAGTGGAAGCTGTGAACTACCAGGTGTCTTGCTTAAATTGATGTCAAATCCACAGATACTTCTTATAATGCCTGTCACTGTAGAAAGTTTGCCTATTCAGCACTGTATCAGTTATGTTCTGTACAAGCCAGAAGCTGGATCAAGTTATTTACTCCTTCTTTTGACTTTATTTCCTCAGGCAGAGTCAGAAATGGCTCTGGATGCAGAGTTCCTGGATGTCTATAAAAACTGCAATGGCGTCGTGATGATGTTTGACATCACCAAACAGTGGTAAAACATCTTTAGCGGCATGCTCCACGTGATTCTCGCTTGTTTGGGGAACACAAATGACTTCTAGACCTCTTGATTCCCAGATGGCCTCTGGAGATGATAACCAGCCTGCTGAATTGAAACAAGCTTCTATCCCTTAAAATAATAGCTGTATCTTCTGACATGTCTTTGAATACACTCCTCTCCTGGGCTTGTTTCAAACAAGCAGTCTCCCTGGGGGCTTGTGTAGTGCAGTGTCTGCTACGCCGCTGTCTGGGGCTCCGTAATTAGTGCTATCGCGGGTGCAAAGTGTGCCGGGCGTGTTACATACCCCTGCTCTCGAGAGCACAAGGGAAAGGGGAATGCTAGTGAGAAATTCCCAGGAAGGCTGGTATTAGTGAGGATTATTTGGAGGCCCTAGGCTGCGTTAATGTACAGAAATAATGAGCTGTTCACTTTGCACATCTGCTGAGGAGGGTGAGGGGTGAGAGACATACGGAAGCCAGGGTGGAAAGAGGAGGTGGTAAGAGTTCCTTTAGAGCTCTGTGTTTAAGCTTATATTTTACAGGTTTGGTATGGGTCAGTGAGCCCATTGACAGCTGAAGGGACGGAATCCTTTTCTTCTGCTGACCCCACGCAGTTCTGTAGGACTGAGGGAAATCGCTGTAGGAGATTTGAGGTTGCTGGTGGAAGTCGATCGCTGAACTTGTCAAGTTGGTTTTGAGTAAAGAGTGATACCAACTTATTTACAGTTAATGTATTTCTCTGAGGGGGGCATAGAAGCCACAGTCTTGGAAGGACTTTGGAAAAAAGAATTCTTCCTTTGTTTTTTTTTTACTGTGATTTGTGGATGAAACTGCTCACAGAATGATGTTTCCCACTCATGTGCCTGTATCTCTCTCTCTTGTGGTGAAGGACGTTTAACTACATTCTGAGGGAGCTTCCTAAAGTGCCGACCCACGTTCCAGTGTGCGTGCTTGGGAATTACCGAGACATGGGGGAGCACCGGGTCATCCTGCCTGGCGATGTGCGGGACCTCATCGACAATCTGAACAGGTAAGGTGGCACCGCGGTCACCGGGCGGGGGAGCAGACCTCGGCTGCTCCCTGTCATCAGCTGGGGATCACCCTATTGCTGCCGAGTTTCAGATGCACGTCACGTTCATCATCTGACCTTGTGCCTAGCTTTGGGGCTTTCATAGCTCCGCGTGTCTCATACAGCAGCTTCAGTCGACACGATGGGCTCTTTGATCTAGGAGCCTGTTCTGGGCAGATTGTTAGCTATGATCCTGGGAACAGCGGGTGCCTGTCAGCATGTGCCTCTCAGAAGCACTTTTCCCAAGAAGTCGTCTTTTTTCTGGATAGTCCTTCTCTTGTGGAAGAATCCTCTCCCTGCAGCACAACTGTTCTCCAAAGAATTCTGCTGCAAGAGAGCCAGCTAGTGCAGCTGTTTGCCTTGCTCTTCCTTGGAGCATCCCCACACAGCATTCACTGGGCACAGCCAAATCAAACGCCTTCCTTGCAACCAGCCAAGATTTTCCATTATGGAGAGGTCTGAGGCTCTCTGATATAAAGTATAAAATATTATTTGTTATTCAGGATTCAATAAATTGTACATTTTTGTGTGATTTTATGTTTTTAAGGCATTTTTCCATTTTCCTAGTCTCTTACTTGTTTGTGCTTGTGTCAGACACACAGTTTCAAGGCTTGATTCTGTAATGTAATCATTTCTTTACAAATTCATCTCTGTATCTGACTTAGCTGAGTTTGATGCCTGCCGAGTTTCAGCATCCATGCAGGGACAGGAATGACTGTCACACATTGATACAATGCACAGCCAATTCCGATTTATTGGTCTGCTTGCATGGTTATATACATTCTTCATATCTGCACACGCGATCACGCCTACTCGGATAGGCTACAGACGTAAATCACGCGCTGTTCACGCACCCCATATTCCCTTATGATTGGTAACTATGCACTAACACCAATAGCAACAGACCGCCTCCATGTCCTTGAACACATCTTGTTTTTGCTAACCCACATCATGTGCACTATCAGAACTTTCTCAATTGCTACTCTTAGCTGTCCTTTCCAGCGGCCTGTTCAGTTATGCTAACTGTTTTGCTTAAGCGGCCTAGTCATGCTAACTCTCAAGCTACATCAACCCCAACAGATGCCCACTGCTAATGCTTGTGACTTAATGTAGGTCTGTTAGTGGTTTTAAAACAAAACCTTCACTGAGAAGTGAACAGCTTGTGCAGCTGTGAAACCCCCAGTTTAGTAAACCAGTGGCCCAGTGTCCTGGCATAGTATTTCTTAGTCTGGCAGCCCCAAGACACTGCAACACAACAGCAGCCGCGTTCTGCCACCCTTCAGGAGGAAAGAAGTGTGAATTTTGTCTGTAAACAAAATTATGAGTCCCTAGCAGAATGACCTGCTAGCCCACATTTGGCGGTTGCGGGGCTGGCTTGCAGACGAGGACTGTTTGTGGTGTGTAATTCGGCAAGTGCCTCTTCTGTGTGTACCCAGTCCGTGTCCTTTGTACAGTTTTCTTCTCTCTCCCTATCTGGTTGAGACAGGCCTCCCGGCTCCTCGTATTTTCGCTACGCTGAGTCTTCCATGAAGAACAGCTTTGGCCTCAAGTACCTGCACAAGTTCTTCAACATCCCCTTCTTGCAGCTGCAGGTAAGAGAGAGGGTATTTCCCTGGTGTGCTGGGTGGGTGGGACAGAGATCATTTTCTGTGTCTCTAAGGCGTGAATTTGATATTTCAGGGCGTGAATTTGATATTTCAGGTTTGTTTTGTTGTTAAGGGATCCTGAGTAAATGTTTGTTTTCATAAGAGTTGTTAACAAAATTACATTAGTACGTTGGTGCCTCTGACTTAACCACGTCTCTGCTTGCGAGAGGACTCTTCTCTGCTGTGTTTGCAAATGCTTACCTCTGGAGAAAGGCTCCGAGGTGATGAATAACACTGGCAAGAAAATTGCATCCAGCAGTGTAGTTACCAAGTCAAAAATGTTGCATATGCACATTTCTTAAACTTTGAGCTTAAATTCTGTTCAGTTAAAACTCAGATGAGAAGGTATTTGGCCGTGAACTGAAAGTTCAGAGACAACTGTTTGCTGAAAATCTGTGCCCTAATGGTAACTGATCTGCTTGGATTCTATGCACATAGATCCAAGTCTCATATTTCTGTCGTAATTGAGGCTTCTTGGGTGGACTGGTTGGGAAGGCAAAGGCTGAATGGACATGGAAGGGTGGGATGCTCAGCTGTGGTCCTTCAGAAGAGGATGCTTCGGGGTGTTCATACGGGGGTTTTTGGGATCAACATCATACACTTTTTGGGAGTACATGTAATCATGTATCATTGTTTTCTGTTGGATGGAAAAAATCAGGCATCTGATCTTGATTATCTTTCATCAGTATTTGAAATGTCTGTGTATATTTTTATACAAATAATCCCACTGAAATACCAGTTCAGAAGAAGGTCAGATATATTAGCAAATGTTACCAGATCCTCAGGCTGCAGAGCAGAAAAAAGTAGGAGGAGAAAACTGAATGTAGAAAAACCCAGTAAAATAAGTCAAACAATAAATTTTTGAGAAGGAAGTTGTAGAAATCTGAAATACAAACCCACCTTGCTGCTCAGTGAAGAAGATTGAAATCTACCAGCATGGGGTTGGTTAAAAGTTTGGTTTTGTAATCTCGGCTCCTATGGTAAAGTGATGTCTTGTGGAAACCATGCAGAATAATTAGTTCCCAGATTACTTTTGTCAGATTTGTAGATCTCCTTTCCTTCTCAAATAGGTGTTGATAAAAGACATCAGAACAGGCTTCCTGCCAGATTTGTTTCTGAAAGCTGCTCATAATGATGCTGTGAATAGTCAGTACATGCAATGATTTTCCGAGCCATAGTTATAAGCAGGAGTTACCGAAGCATTTGTAGTATCAGGTTTGCTTGGAAGCAGCTTTAGGATGCGAGTCTTATGGGACCTTTCATTTAAATGTGCTGTGTGTAAGTAAACGTGATCTATTAATCTGAGACTGAAAGCAGTTAGGATGCTTAGATAAAGTAGTTGGCCCCAAAGCCAGAGAACCTCTTGGACAAGTCTTGGTCTTCAGGGAAACAGAAAAAATAAATCTGATACAACCTTTAGTTGTTTGGAGATTCCAGTGACAGTTGCTTAGGAGAGGCGAGGGAAATGCAGTGACCAGCCCACATTTGTTCTCCTGCTGAGTGGGCTCAGGGTGGCACGGGGAGTAGTCCAACAGGGGCAGGTGCCCCATAATGAGACTCCCAAACCCTGTGGGCTTCAGGTAATGTAATTAAATAATTCAACACTGCAGAAACAAACCTGAAAAGGCTTCTCATTACGGTTTAGTTCCCAAATTGTGCAAGGGGAGATTTGGGTGGACACATGTAAATCAGGTTTGTAAATATGTTCACTCTGTTCTTCGTACCTCAGCACGGAAGGTGGCAGCTGAGGAGGTTGTCCTGTGCCTGTCATTCAAGGTGAGAGTGATCAGACCGTATCTGCTTGGCCTTTCCTTTAAAACATCAGGGCCAAAACTAACTCCTGCCCTTCTGTGCTCATGCAGGGATTGCAGGCAGATGCTTTTCTGTGCGTTCTGAAAAGAATCACAGCATAGGATCCAATGTGGCGATGGCTTGTTTTGTTTCGCTGTGGTGTGCAGGAGATTCCTGGCCTTGCCATTCTGTGCCATGCCATGGCAGGTGAAACTCCAAATTTGGAGGCTTTTGGTTGCTTCCACCCAGGCTTTGGGGCTTTACTTGATGTCAAACTTCAGCCAAGATGTACCACACTTAGTTTTTCCGGTGCCACTTGCATTTGTGCCACAGGTTGATTAGAAGAGCTATGTGCTGCTCCACGGTAGCTGCTGCTAGTGGCTCCGGGCGTCCGGGTGTTCTGCTGCTCCTGGAGACCCGCTGGCAGCCCTGCCTTTGAGTGCACGGGGAGCCAGGGCTGGCCCCACTGGGCCTGATTAACCACCACTGCAGCGTGATGTTAAAATCTGTAGGAAAATCACAGCTAGACTGAATTCCTAGAGGTTCTGCTTATACCTTCTGAGAGACTTGCCAGCAACAGGCTCCTGAAGGGAGTCGTTTCCCCGGTGCTCTGGTGCAAAGCAGGGTGAAAGAAGAGGAATGCTACCAGGTATTAAATGCACGTGTGAGTTAATCAGCCTCAGTCGACCTCTGAGGCTTCTCCGTGTTCCTCAGCCTAGCCTCCCGCAGCTCTCAGGGGGAAGAGGAGTTGGTCAGCTGTGTGCAGGATTCCACGCTGTCCTTCAGCAGAGTTGGTGTTCAGTGCGTTGGTTTGAAGTTGCACATTTCTGTGTTCAGCTTTCATTCATGCGTCTTTCATGAAGAAAGCGGTGGCTGAAATTCATACCCCCGGCAGAGAGCACGGTCCCTCCAGCAGCCCAGGCTCCTCAATTATTTAGCAGCTCCTTTCCAGGGGAAGGACTGTCAAACCTGAGAACGCAGTTTAGCTGTAGGGATGGCTGGTGGCCCACAGAATGTGCAGAAGTGATCAGGTCAGCCAGGCCTTCGGATGCTGCGCTGGAAGGAGACGAAATTCTGCAGACAGCTGAGATTGCCATTTCCCAGGAAGCACCTGAAAGTGGCGTTCAGCCAAAGCGTTGGTCTGTAGCACATGATTTATTCCCTTCTTTTGGGCCATTGCTAAAAATAAGCTGTTTCTTTAATATTTTAATACCAGCATGGTAAAATAGAATTTATTTTTTAAGTATTTGGAAGTCCATTGTTAGTGATGAATTTTTACAAAATTAAATGCAACTCTCTTAATTAAATCTAAGTTCTTAATTTACTGTAATCTGTGGAAATTGAAACAAATACAACTATGGTATATATCTTACTGCCATGGTATGAGGAAAGGCAAACCACTTGTTTAATAAAAGCCATTATCTAAGTGCCTAAGGTAGGCATTGGAAAGCAGGGTCGCTTCTGTGTCTTTATTCAGCTAATTTGCTCAGCATTAATTTCACTCATCTTAGGAAACTGAGGACAAAGCAGCAGAAAGCTTGCTCTTTATTTATCTCGTTTTTGCATACACTGTGTGAATAACACAAAAGGATGAAATCTGTTACTTCTAAAATCTTGAATTTCTTAAACCTTGAATTCTAAAATCTAAAAGTCTAAAATCTTGATTAGTACTTCTGTTTAGTGTAGTGAGTTTAAATATGTATAGCATGTTTTGCTGAAACTTTTTTGTCTGTATACCATGATGAAGGGAATTCAAGTTAACTAATGACTTCATAATTATTTGTATACATGTTAATTGAAGTCAGGTTTCCATCTGCAAAGAGCTTACGAATATGATGAATAAAAATTACCTAGCAAAGGAAATATGGATCAGTCCAAGCTCTCAACACAATGACAAAGGTAAAAATGAAGAATATAAATGCTTTGGAAGCAGGAAATTAGCTTAAATGACCATAGAAGCCCTTTAATTTCAAGAAAGACTGTGTCTTCCAGTAAATTAGCAGGTTTAAATGTTATCAACTGCCATGAGCCACCTGGTCTTATAATACAAAATAAACATTACTTAAGCCTTGCTTCCTGGTTTAAGCAATGCTGGAATTTGATATAAATCAGCCTGCTCTGTGGAGGCCTCAAGCTGTGCCCTGACTACTCCCGTGGACAGAGTAGTAATTTGTACTCTTGCTTTGAGAGCTCCAAAGTTGCAGTGTCTGTGAGGGGGTGTGAAGGTGGAGACTGAGCGCCACTGCTTTATGCCAGTGTTTGTCTTCCCATGGGGATTTTATTCTGTAAATTATATAGTAGATTTCCTTTTGTGCTTTTTACTCTGATGGAATCTTTCTGCAGTAAGCAAATGTGTTGTCAAACATGGAATTTATAATTCACCACAGTTATTGACACCAAACTTCAAAAATATTTGCCATAGTAGAAAGCTTAAATGTACGTTGAGGACAAGGCAGTTACAAAAGCAAAAACCTTTGCAGTTTGGAGGAAACCTGGGGGTTCTCTTCTGTCCCCTCCTGTCTGGGGGGCATGCAGCTTGGCATGGCACCGGTGGACCCTGCTTTAGTGGGCACCGTGCAGCCCTGTGGGCCATCAGCCGTGTCTTGGCACAAGCTGGCCCTGCTCCTTGTGCCACCCCGTGTGCAGGCAGTGGGAGGATCGACGCTTTCAGGCGCTGAGCATCGTGACTTTGGCCTCTAGAGTTCACCATGTAGACTGACTCATGTGTCCCTTGCTCAGAGCCTCTGCAGCAGGCACGTGGGGTGCCGGTGGTGGGAGCCTGGCCATTGCTGGTGCCCGGCTGCGTCCGGGCGGAGGGGCAGGGCTCCAGGGCAGGATTTGTGCCATGGAGCGGGGCGGTGCTTGCAGACAGCTCCGGTCTTGGCCGGGGGATCCTGAGTGGAGTTCCTGCAGCCTTGGGCGCTGTGTCAGCCCTGCGCTCGGGGCCGTGGCAGAGAACTGCCGGGGGAGCAGGCGGTAGGCTGGGGGGGGAGTGTCTCCTCACCATTTGCAATGGATTTTGAGCCTTTTAAGACAGCACCTTCCCTCAGCTGAGGTTTTTGCTTGGAATCTGTTGGAAATGTGGAAGGGGAAAGACTGAATTAAGCTGCCTTGTGTTACATCAGTGAAGCCCTCTCACTTTACTGCGTGTTTGACGTGGACTGGAGTGTCTGTCCCCCATCTGTGGGGCAGCAGCTGGAGGCAGAGGGGCAGTGACTTCTGAAATTTCACTGAGTTGACAGGTTGTGCTCACTCATCTACCCTGACAGTAAAAAGAAACTTACTGTGAGGTTTTGCATCAGCTGGGTCCTACTCACAGGGGCACTTCTTGAGCACAGGGGGAAAAATAAAAGATCAGAATGAAAGGGTGGCACAGCCGTTCTCCGCAGGAGTTGATACTGTTCTCCAAATGCAGCTGGCAAAGCTGTGTCTGAAAATTGCACATTATTGATTTATGGCTGAGTACAGCTCACAGAACAAACTACTTTCTTACACACAGACTGGATTAACGTACTTTTGCTACTGCTTCAGCTTCAGTGTGTGCTTCTGTGTTTAATCTGAGCGCCGCAGAGGGAGTGAAGCTGCTGTTTAATTCATTGCCGTGGGTAGAGTGGTGACACAAGATCTCGCTGCACTCGTGAGCGCACAGAGATCTGTTGCAATGACCCTTCCTGCTCAGACCCGGCTTGTTTTCCTTTCCTCAGAGGGAGACGTTGCTACGGCAGCTGGAGACGAATCAGCTGGATATTGATGCAACTTTGGAGGAGCTGTCAGTGCAGCAAGAGACAGAAGATCAAAACTACGAACTGTATGTCACTGAGCCATCTTTTCTAACTGTTTTGTTGCAGTCTAGGTGTCACAGGAATGTTGGGCAGCCCCAGCAGTGGCATGTGGCCAGACTGAAGGGTCCCACGAGGAACGTGTAGGGTTTCTTTGGATCTTGTGAAGTGTCACCTTTAAGTGGCAGCACCTGAAATAAAGCATGCACTTGGGGGTGCGTATGAAAGGGTCTGGTTCGTGACCTGCGGGAGGGCAGTGGAGGTGGAGCTGAGCAGCACACCTGGAGGCAGCACGTGCTGAGGGACTGGGGATAAGTTTGTTGCAGCCTCTGAAGCTGCAAGGGGCATTTTCCATCTCTCTGCTGCTCAGCACGCGAGCTGAGAGAGGCAGAAGGAAAAAGCAACAACATTGTTATCTTTTGTTCCCTTTGAATACTTCTGGACTCCTCAGCGCACTTCTGGTTGGAAATAGTGGCTGGTCCCTCCTGCCTCCCGTTTGTTCAGTGCCCTGTCTGTTTGCTTGCTGCTGGAAATGAGCGTTTGCCAGGTTTAGCCCTGCAAAGCCAGTATATCTGTAGCACACTGGACAGGAATCTCTTCAGATTTGTGTGTTACTGACAAATGTGTTCTGTGAGTTCCCATTGCAAGATCCTTCATTGCAGTGATGCGTGAGCCAGAAAAGCCACCCGAGAATGAATTTGAAAAAGATTTGATACAGGCAGCTTTATTTGGAAGTTGGAATCGATGATTATGAAATATTCATGCACAGCCATTTTGATGAGCGTTTTTCAGACCAAGTTTCAAGTTCTGTAACCTTGGTCGGTGTGTTTTCCCTTGAGAGCATTGAAATACCCCGTGTACACACAAAGCAGTACTGTTTCCAGAGTGTTCACCTCATTCCTTTCCTTAGGGACTGGTTAGTCTCCTCATGCCTCCAGCAATTCTCTTGATGTCCGTACTCAAAGGACTGGGCTGCGTGGGCTGTGCTGTCAGATTGTTTTGCAGTATTTTTATTTATACTGCAGCAGTAATGGGAAGATACTTAAAAGAATCAAGAGTTGACAGAGCTGTTCCAAACGTAACACCAGAAGATCTTGTTACTTAGTCACCTCTCACCCTTACACCAGCTTTAGCGTTTGCTGGACCCTCGTGTGTGCCAGCTCAGCTCGCAAATCCAGCAGAAAACTGTTTTCTGCCATGTCTGCTTCTGGGTTCATTGGGGTTGGGCTGGCTCCGAGAAGCATCTGCTTAACACCAGAGCTTACAGGAAGCAGCAGCAGTATGGCGCTGGCAGAGGTGGGGTGGCAAGGCCTCCTCGTTCCAGCGGTGGGTGTTTGCATCATCCCATCCAGTGCACCCACACCAGCATACACCATTTTATAATCCTGGTGAGCTTCTGCTGCCAGAGAGCACCTTTTCTGGATACACGCTCCTGCAGAAATACCGTGATTACTAAGGAGTGTCATTTGCAATGTGGTAGCATCCCGATTCCTAGGGCCAGGCTGGTCCCGTTGCTCTGGGCACTGCGCCCTAACAGGTCAAAAGGCACGTTCTTGCCTTTTGCAAGCTCAGAGGAGCTGTTGGTGCAGCCTGTGGTGGCCAGCGTTGCCTCCGTAGAAGCCCCTGCATCATCTGCAGAAACTCCAAAGCCAGATAAACATTTGGCCCGCATGTCAGTGCCCTGCTGTTTTCCAAACCAGGTTGTGAGCACAGGAGGAACAGGAGACGGGCTGCGTGCACCTGCAGATGCCCACTGCCCAGCCGGGCAGAGCAGCCGCCCTTCTGCGCCGCAGGACAGCACACTGCAGCGAGGGGCTTGCACTGTGGGTGGCTAATTGCACTGTTAGGCTGCCTAATTGGCTTGACATGGCATGAGAAATACCTTAACCATGGTACCCGACAAAAGAGGAGCTGCTAAAATATTAAAAGCAAGACTTTTCTCTAGGATTCTGGTTTAGCAAATAATGCTATGCAGCTGGCCAACTTCTGCTTTCACTTCAGCTGCTGCATGTTTGTGTCTGTGTACTGAGGCCACTGTTCTTTGCTTTCAGAAAATAACACTTCTTTATAGAAAGGTCTTTAAAATATCCCTGGATGCTTCCTGGCTGGAGCCGCTGATCCCAAAACCACAAGGCTGTCTCATGTCTGAGTACTTTGATCACACTGACCGAAACAGAGTGCCATTTTAGGATTTGTGAGGTTTTTCTTTGCACCCCAGGCAGAAAGAGGGTCTGTTTCAGAGGCACCTCTCTGAAACAGATGGGCTGCAGAGGGCTTACTTCAGCCCCAGAGCTGGAAAGTATACTCTTCCTACATTCATTTTTTATCCCTGCAGGAGCTTTTCAGGCTTGAGTCCTTTAGCCAAAGTCCTGACTTCAGGAAATAACCACACTTATATGGGAGGGAACTCAGGTTTGAGTAAGGTTCCAATCCTTAGTAAACAGTTTAGGCTGGTGAGCAGCGTATCTGTGGACACAATGACAGTACATGCTGGGGATCAGAGCCTGCAGTTGTGAGACAGGTCTGCAGCGCTCGTTATTAGGGCTTGGGAAAGTCCTTGCGTCCATGCTTGTCAGATGCCCATCATTTTGGGCTTGTCCTGTTCAATGCGCTGCTTTGGCGGGTGTCAAAATGAGCGCCTGGGGCACTGTGCTCTGACACTGGCTGGTTGTGTACAGCACGTGCACTGGAGCAGTGCGAGTTGCTGAGCCTTGGCAGATGTGAAGCCCTTGTGTTGATTGCTTTGATTGAGACAGTGCTTGGAGTTCTGCTGTCGGTCACCAGGAACTGTGCAGCAAGGGGAGGTGTCTGCAGGCACTTGGGGCCGCAGGCCATGGCGTAAAATCATGCCATAAAATCAGGCCATGGAGCAAGGCGAGGTGACAGTGCCAGGACATCTCGGTTATTTCATTCACCCCTGCGCACATCTAGTAGCTGCTCTGTCACAATGACTGATGCTGAATTCGGATCAGAGAACAGACAGAGCAGGAGAGCTCTTCCTCCTGCTGCGGCTGGGTACCCGAGGACAAAATGTCATGGCTCCAGGCGTGGATGGCAGGAGAACACAAGGTGGCACATGGTGCTGCCGCAGCCGCCCGGCGTCAGCCAGCCCATGGCCGCAGGGCTGGACTCTGCCTCCAAGAGACACGTTTGATGCTTCCAGCTCCTTCCCTGCGCTCAGTCTCCTCTCTGCCTGCCACACCTCCTGCTCTGGCGCTTTCCCTGGGGTTTCTCAGATTTTACGTCTTCAGTGCTGCTAAAAATACATTTCAGCCCTGTCTGAGTTCCTGAATTCTTAAAACAAACAGCAACGACTTTTTTTACTCTGTTCTGAATTTGTACTTAATTTGTTCCATTTTTCCATCTTTAATAGTAGCCAGCTTGTCTTCTGTCACAAAGAAAAATTCTTTATGTTCAGCGTGGCTGTGCCCTCACTGAATGGTGCACATGGAGAAGTAGTTTTTGGGAAATTGTGGATTTACCTAGGGATTAATGCAAGTTAGTCAAAAGGAATACTTGAGTTGTTCTTTGTGAGAAATCCCATCTTCTTTCACATTCAGTTTTGAGAAGCGCCAGGAAATTGTCTGCTGTAAACCACTGTGTGGTTGTTCGATTTGTAAGCAGGTGAAGTCCAGCTCCTTCACAGGAATTGTTCATTGGAAAGGAGTTTTCAAATCATTGTGCTTACGAGCTCTGACGCAAACTGTTAGTCAGACTTTGTGAAAATATATTCAAAGCAGTCGAACTTCAGATTGTCTGAGATCCTGTATGGTCCAAGCTACAGCTTTGGCAGCGGCAGGACCCATCCCAGGTTTGCCACGTGATGGCGGTCCTTCTGGGTCCCTTCCCGGCCGTGCCGTGTGGCTGTTGTCTGCGTTGTCAGGCGATCCTGGACAAATCCTGGGTAGCCAGGTGCTGCTGGCCAGGTGGGGAAGGTGGTGGACCATGACAGGCATTTGCACTCTCCCGATGAAGGCTGTTCTTTTGGAAGACACAGTCCCTGCATTAGACAGCTTTGTTCAGTACAAAGCCACTGATTGGGTTTTTGGGTTTTTGCTTGTTTGTTTTTTCCTCATTGATCACAGCTTGTAATTTTGCAGAGACCGTGGTGCTGAGTAACACCAGCACTGGCTGGCAGGAGGACCTGCTGCTCGAGCCGCTCTCCCATGTCTTCAGCTATATCGAAGTACAGGCCCGGAATCACGCTGGCTAAAGGCTGAATTACCAGTTAGGAAAGTAAAACCACTTCTGCTTTCTCTTCCCCTTGCCCCACCTTTATCGTTTCCGCTTGCTGTGAATCACTGTTGCCGTCAGACAGATCAGGAGCCAGCATGTAGCAGATGGGACTTTAGGTCATGGTTTTTGTGTGGGGCTGAATTACGAATTGCAGCTAACCCTGTCGTCGTCAGTCTTGCTCGAGAAGTGGAGAACGTGGAGCATGTCCTGTATGTTGGGGGGGGGGTTCCTGCTGCATCTGTTTTGTGTCAAGTGGCAAACCTAGGAGCTCCTGGGGAGGGGCTGCACTCTCCAAGGCCTGGGCGGTGGGATTCAGCCCTGCTTGGCAAGTGGTTTCCCACTCGGGGACCTGGGCTTAGAGGGGAATCAGGCTCAGTACGCTTAATAAGCCCAAAACAAACATGTGGAAATCTAACCCCTCAGTAACCCCAGTTAAATTGATGTCACATGGCCAGTTAATCTTCATTTTCACAACTAATAAAATAACCCCAAAACATTTCTTGCCACATGAAATACATTTGAAAAATTGATCACAGCACGTTAGAACCAGGAGCCAAAAAGCTTCAGGCTGCTCCCGTCTTCAGTAGTAAATGAGCACGAGCGCTGACAATCTTAGGAACTGTAGGGCTAACAAGTCCTTTTGTGCTTTTTTTTGTTTGCTCTGGGAGCAGAGCAGCAGTAACCTCAGGTCCTGATGAATTTTTGTTCCTGCAGAGCATGTTCATCTTTAAAATTGCATGGAAGTCTCCTCTTGCGAGCAGGTCCAGCTGACAGTGAATTATTCAGGGCTTTTGAGGATGTGGACTTGTTACTTGGTCTGAAGTGGAGGGGTTGAGAGGCAAGCAAGGAGCCCGCGTGGGTGAGGACAGGTAGCCCATCTGGACTGGCGTGGTGTGTAAATCCCAGCCAGAACAAGCGTGCTCAGGTCACAGTGTGAGTTCATCCTATGCGGTGATAGGACCTGGTCTACTACACCTAGTCTGGACACGAAGCTGTTTGTTTCACAGTAAGATTTTAAGTGAGTCCTTTTGCGAAGGACTGGGAAAATGATAGAACGAGGAACACAGCGGCCAGATTGTATAGAATATAAGAAAAACCAGACACGTGGCAGTTTTGGCCTGGTGTGTTCCCAAAACAGCCACACTTGTGCCGCTGAGGAGTGTGTGTAAAGCCAGAGAAAGCATTCATGCATTATGTAGTATTTTCAAAGTGTGGAGGATGCTGAGACACCTCCACCCTGGAAATTACTGAGAGCTTGCTGGCAACGCTTTCGTGTATGCTGGTTTTCCACCCACCTCTTTCATGGAAGAAGATATGAGTATGAAAGCTCAGCAGAGCTGGTTTTATGCAGCTCGTGTAAAACCGATATCCATCCTTATTTCCCTGGTGTCATGGCACGCAGCACAGAGCTTGGCCCACGTGTGTGGTTGTTGGTGAGGAAGGTGACACGAGGCACACGTGCCACAGCTCTGCCTGCTGCTGCGCTGGGGTAAGAGCTGGTGTCATGCTGTCCCCAAATAAGCATTGTATCTTTCTCCTAAAAATAACTTGTTCTTGTGCCCTTGGTGTAAATGTAGGTGAGCGAGGCATAGGAGCAGGTGCAGAAGAAGCCTGTGTGTGTGTTACTCTCCAGACTAGCTGAGCTGGAGGGGAGGATGACACTCTTTAAACTTCAGTTATGTAGCATTTTTTCCCTCCAGCTCTTAGAATTCGTGTGTTTCTGCAGGAGAAACAGGTGGCAGTCACAGCCCTCCCTCCCTCTGGAGCTGGCTGCTTGCCCAGAACAAAGCAGGTTGTTTCCAAAACGGGCAGCTTTGGTAGTACAAAGTACAATAAATCTTCAAATACCCTGGAATTGTAAAGAGTGTCCTGCATTTTGTTGGGTCCAGCTTTAAGTTCTCTTGGAGCTTCGTATTCTGTATCCTAAAATGACTATGTATGTACTCTGTGCGTGCTTCATGCAGGATCCTTGTTCCTTAGGCTTCAGCGTACGATCATCTTGTCCTACCTGATCCCACCCAGCTGCCCTGATGGTGGGACCCAGCGTCCTGATCAGAGACTCAGGTTGTTCGGTTCCGTTTTCGTGTCGCGTTGCTCATTTAGGTGCTTGCATAGGCAGTGGGAGAGCTCAGCCAGGAGAGCGAGCAGCGCTGGTGTCAGTACCTTGCGTGCTGGATGCCGCAGTGGCCGAGCTCGCAGGCCTTCCAGCCAGCATCGCTGTTGCTATAAACACGAACAGGGGCACGTGTAGATCCGCTGGGTTTAATCTCTCTTCACAGTTGGGAGGCAGGAGTCTTTAACCCTGGGTAGGGCTTGGGAGGAGGAGGAATGAGTACCACAAAGCAGAGCTTTTCAGCCATCCTGCCTTCGGCTCACCGGGAGCCCTGAGTCAAAGCCCAGAGGGGAGGGATGACACAAATTAGCACTCAGTGCTTCTGGCGAGGATCTGTGGAGCCACGCATCCTGTGCAGGCCGGTCTCGTGGATGGCTTTTTGGGCCACAGCAATTCACGTGGCTGTGTGGATTCAGAGCGTTTGCTTTGCTGGACAAGGGCTGAATTGCAGGTACCCCTGGTTTATCTTCTCCTCGCTACAGATGGGAGGGCTGCCATGAGGGGTGCTGCGTGGCAGGGCGTGTGTGGTGACCCCCTCCTCAGGAAAGGAGCGATGTGCAGTTGCTCGGCCCTGCAGCGCAGTGAGAGCGATGCACTGAGAATGCAATGTTCTGTTCTTGCAGCGTGTGCGATGCACCATGCGCCTTCCCGGCAGACCTGCTGCAGTCTCCACGGAGCTCGGTGCAAGAGTTCATCTTCTTTCTGCTTTCCCTTTGGTGCATGACAAATGCGTGCAGCGTTTTCAGTGGAACGTGTTGTTGCACAGCTCACCCCAGCTACTCGTCCCCAGAGAGGGAGGATGCTGGAATGGATGCTCTGTCACATGCTCTGATCTCAGCTCTGCCAGGAGCTGGTTTTGTTGTAGCCAGTCTGCTGGGTGGGATAAGCACAGATGCCTTGCCTCAGATCCTGGTGGAAGCATCAGTGAGGCTGCCACAGTGTGGCACTGATTTCGGTGCCTTGACAGCGGTCTCGGGGGACAGGCTGTGTGACAGCCAGGCTCCTGTTCTGCTCCTCCCAGGCAGCGTTGTGTTTGCAGCCTTCAGTCCCATCTTCTGGAATGAGCGGGGCAGGTCCTTCCTAGCCATTCTGATGTGGTGAGCTTGGAGCAAGAACAGTTGTTTCCTAGCCCTTGAGGAGAGGACCGTTTCCTTTATGCTGTTGAATTTCTTCCCATTCCTGTTCTGCAGGATCATCCCGTTCTTTCTGTATCTTCTCCCTGCCCTCTTCTCTATTGATGCTGCCTCCCAGCCTGCAACCTCACGAGCCTTTCACTGGTCTCTGTGCCGCTTCGCTGAAGTGCTGAAATGCATCTCAAGGCTAATCCTTGAGGAACTCTACCAAGGATTTCTCTCCCAGCTAATACTGATTTTTAGTGCTGCCCATTATGTCCACTTGAGCCAGTTCCTTAGTTAGGAAGGTCTCCTGGTTTTCCAGTTCAAGGAACAGCTTCCTGGGGATGTTGTTCTGTAGGGCTCCAGCCACTGCTGGTCACAAAGTATGTTAGTTTGTTCCTTGAAAGTGTATCAGGTTGCTCCTTAAAATAGGAAGTGATATCTCAAGGGGGTTTAGAGTCTTTTAGGCCTTGCAGTTTGCTTTCTGCTTAGCAGTCGTTCCAGTGAAGGTGTCTGGCTCGAGTCCCTGAAGGACGAGGTTGTCCTCTGTGTGGGAGAGGAGTCTCTGTTTTGACATACTCGTTGCCTGCAGCACAGCCGAGTCAGCCTGTCTTGCCGAAGCAGCTGAAGCCAGAGCCTGTGTGCGTGGGTTCATTAGGCTTAATGAAAAAAGAGGCGAGACATGACATTTGCTAGGTTTTAGAATGATACTTCACTTTGGCTGTCCTCTTTATATCTCTCAGATGTGCTGCATGTATCAGATACTTATTTTGAGACCCTTTCATAGTCAGAGCCTGTCTTTCTGTGAGTGTTTCTTTGCATACAGCTTGTGAAAAGACTGCTAAGCAAATGGGCTGCAGCAGGATCAGGCTTGGTTTCCTTTTTGGAAAGGGTAGAGCATTTCACCCTCTGTAGCAGTACAGGCTTTAATGCTCTTCTAGTCAGGAATCCAGCCAGGACCACAACTTGCTTCAGCGCTTCTGCTGCTGGGCTCCACTGCCTCCCACGCACGGGGGGGTGTGCGAGGGGAGAGACAGCCTTGTGTCTCTGCACACTGCGCGAAGGATGATTGCAGTCAGTCCGCAGTGAGCCCTCTGCATAGCTCTTATCTTTTGACATTCAAGGATCCTCCTCTCAAATCCATTTTTGGATGAAAGAAGAGGTTTTTATAGCTTTTGAGTTTTCTTGAACACTCTGATATCTTCTGCAGAATCTAAAAACGTGCCATTCTTGTAGCGCTTACTCCCTTAGAGACGTATGTCCAAGAACTGACTTAAGGTTGTGTTTCAAGCCCTGGCACATTGTTATAGCCTGTCTATCGAGGGAGTTCCCAGCAGCATTGCAAATACAGGTTTCATCCTGCAGTGCGAAGCAGGCTGGGATTCTCCACACCTCGATGCGAATTGGGTGAGTTTAGCTCACGTGGGTGAACAGGATTTATTGCGGCCCAAGGAGTCGCAGCATCATGGAAAGCAGACCCGTACCCTCCCAGCTCAGCACATCGCCAAAGCAGCCCAGCGTCGTGCTCAGTGCTCTGTTGAACATGTTTTCTCCATTCTTTATATTTGCAATTTGTCTTCCCTGCAGCTTCCTTGAAATGATGGAAGCCCGGAGTCGAGGACACACATCACCACTGACAACTAACGGGCAAAGCCCGTCCTCTGGCTCCCAGTCACCCATAGTACCTCCAAGCTCCACATCGACGGGCAGCTCCAGCCCTGGCACCCCACAGCCGCCGCAGCCGCTTTCCCCAAGCTCCACCGTCTCTCCTGAGCCACCCCCGTCTTTTTCACCAGTGCCTGCACCCGAAGCCCAGCAGCCGCATGCACCTCCACCAGCCGCAGCCTCCCCAGCCCCTCCGGCTGCAGCCCCGCCGCCGAAGCGCAGCATTATTTCACGCCTGTTTGGGACGTCCCCTGCATCAGACCCCTCTCCTCCCCAGCCAGGTAGGTGCTGGAGTACAGTGTCTGGGCAGGGCGTCACCTTTCTGTTTTCCTTCCATTTTTCCTTGCAAGAGGCCTAGCAGACAGGTGTCTGAAGAACACAGGCCCTGTGTGTGTGCAGCGTGTGTCCAAGGAGAGCTGCGCTGTCGCTCTCTGTTTTTCTTCTGGTTGTCATTGTGGTTTGTCTCTGTGCTGGGCTTGGATGGGGACTGTGTCCAGCCAGCTGGGTGGTAGCTCTGGTGGGCTTCAGGAGCAGGGCACTGAGCGCCCAGGGGACGCTAATAATATGACTGTCAGCTTCTTAGCAGGACCACATGTGCCTCTTGAATAGCAAGAAAAATCATTAGAGAAGCTATTTGAAGCTCTGTCCTCATAGAAGTCTGGCAGCGCAAAGGGGCTCCTGTGTGTTAACGGAGAACAGCGGAGTGCTGGTTTTAAAGGTTATTCAGCCAGAAATGATCATGTAAGTCCAGGCTCTGCAGCGGATTCCCCTCTGGGGAAATACGCTCCTTCGGAGATGGTCTGGGGAGGAGGGCAGCCCGCCCTGACTGCTTCCTGAGCACCAGCACACAATGGAGCAGAGCAGCGCAGCGTTCGGTCCAAACCCCTGCCGGACAGAGTTGCAGGGCAGAGGCATCAGGGGTTTTGTTGCATGCCCTTTTACTGATCTGGACCTTAATTTGCCTGTCATATTCACTTTGTTTGCAAAGCTAACTGGAGCTGCAGAGCTGGCACTGCCTAAAAATCATTAGCATGACATAGTTTGAATCACCCTTTGGAAATACCTTCCCTCTCAAACTGTCAATCCCTAGAGCTCAACAGTACTCTCGAGACACCCACAGAAAGAAAGGAGGAGGTGCTGGGAACACGGTTTGCAGTTTCAGATGTTGAAATCTCTCAGTTTTAGATCTGCAGACAATGTTCTGCATTCTGAATCTGTTACCAGGTATGACACAGTGCACCCGTTTTGGTTTGTTGGTGACTCTTCCTACCCAGAAACAAACAAATGAAGAGGAGCAAATGTTAGAAACCCCTTGTCAATAAAAAAACTTTTATCATATTGATATGTAGAAAAAAGACACGTGGTCTACTACTAGCATTACAGTCTTTGGGGTTTGGTTTTTTTTCTTCTTCTTTTTTTAAACCTGTCACTTAGTTTGAGAACTATTTTAGGTGTGTGGCCTGCAGTTCTGGTATCTCAAGGGTGCTTTTTAGGAGGGTTGCAAAAGGCAGCTAGGAAAAGCTGATCTGTCGGTGGTACTGGGTTTATGTAGCATGCCAAGGGTCTGCACCTCTACTGGAACGTACCTAGGGACTAGGTAACTGGAAGGCAGTCGAAAAATCACTGTCACAAAGTAATACTTGTTTTTTATGGGAGCTGCTATGTAAGCTTTCCCTTGAAGTCTTGCAGTAGTAATTCTTTTGGCTGTGTTTTTTCTGACACCAACGCTACTCTGTGGCATTAGTAATAGTGTTATTTGCATGCAAAAGTGATCTGAAAGCTGTACTACTAGAGCAAAATCTAGAAAAAAATACAGAAATCTTGTTCACCCAAAAGAAAAGAGCCTAGATGTGAAGTGCAGTCTGGGCAGAAGAAAAAGGTTGAATATTGCAAATTCTGAAAAGGTTAATCGCTTTAGACTTCTTGGTTATGCTAATTTAATGAGATTTCATCCTGATACCTTGAAGATGGGTAACAGTGTCTCTACAGATAAGCTATATTAAAGCGAGTCTGTATTTGCAGTAGCTCGAGCTTTTGGTTACACAGGGCATCTGAAAGCACAGCATGAAAAATCCTGCCTTTGACTGTTACAGTTGAAAAAGCAAGAGGAGATGAGTGGGTGAACTGAACAGTCTGGAAAAGGTAAGGGAGTAACACAGGGACATCACACAGAAGCGGTGCACACAGCACAGGTGTAAAATCTGGCTGTGGTGTAGCCAGTCGTAGCGTTCGCTGTAGAGCAGAGTCAGCTGTCGTGCGAGAGAGCTTTTTAGACTGTTGAAGAGCCTGGGTCAGCCTGGTGCACTTTAAACCAAAGCATCCGTGTGTGGTCTGTGAATGCCTTCACGCAAGATTCTGGCCTGGGCTGAGTATCCTGTTCGTAACCTTCCTCTCCCCTCGCTGTGTAGCCAAGGTCCTGCTTCGTGGCTGCTGCTGCTCTCGGCAGGATGGATCTGTAAAAAGCAAATGTCTGTCTTGCTTGTGGTGAACACTGTGTTTTAACAACTCCTGTTGCTAATGCAGATCCTGCTGCTGCCACTCCTCCTCCCCTCCCTGAAGCCACTGCAAAAGTACAGAGCGTGGAGGACTTTGTTCCTGATGACAGCCTGGACCACAGCTTTCTAGAAGACCCAGCCCCGCGGAAGGACAAAGGGAAACCACAAACTAAACACCGCCTCGATAGTGAAAGGTAAGGAAAGGAGAATGGAGAGAGGGTGAGACAGGGACATACCTGGATATACAGTCTGAACGGCGAGTCAGGGCTGGCTGACCTGTTGCAGCTGTGCAGAAGGTGGTTGCAGAGCAAGTAGCTGCCCCTAAGCCTTTCTGGCTGTGGTATAGCCAGTCGTAGCATTCACTGTCTCCCATTTAATGATACACACTGCTCCCTAGGAATGAGGAACACCAGTGAAAACTAGTTGTCACCTTCCTGGTTTTGCTGTCTTGCTTTCATACTCCGTGTTAAAGCCACTGGATTGCTTTGGGTCAGGAAGGGATTCCCCTTCTGGCCAAATGAGCTGAAACATTGGAGATATTTTCCCTGTGGAACACAGTGCACTTTGCAGGGATGTTAGATTTTGCCTAATGAAGACTTTCCTGCTGCAGAGACCCAGAGCATGGCCAGGCTCCTTCGTGGCCTGGTGCTGCTATTCCTGAGGCATTATAAAGGGGTTTGTGTTTGCTGGAGGACACCTGGGAACACTCCATGGCTCGATGGGATTTGGGAAGGAAGGATGGAGAGGGTCGTGCTCCCTTGGGGGTGTCACTGCATGCTTGCCTGCAGATTCCAGAAAAGTCTTAGGGGTGACTTTCGTTGTCCATTTCTGGCGTTGCTTCCCAGAATTTTCTCTCTAAATTGGAGAGATATGGATTTGATGGGTGGGCTGTTCGGTGGATGAGGAATTGGCTGGGTGGTCACATCCAGAGAGCAGTGGTCAAGGGCTCAGTGTCCAGACGGAGATCAGTGATGAGTGGTGTCCCTCAGGGGTCCATACTGGGACCAGTACTGTTGAATGTCTTCATCAGTGACACAGACAGCGAGATCGAGTGCAGCCTCAGCAAGTTTGCAGGTGACACCGCGCTGAGTGGTGCGGCCGACACCTGAGGGAGGGGATGCCATCCAGAGGGACCCGGACGGGCTGCAGAGCTGGGGCTGTGGGAACCTCGTGAGGTTCAACAAGGCCAAGTGCAGGGTCCTGCATCGGGGTCGGGGCAACCCCGGTAACAAGACAGGCTGGGGGTGAAGGGACAGAGAGCAGCCCTGCGGGGAGGGACTGGGGGAACTGGGGGGTGAAAGCTGGGCGTGACCCCGCAGTGTGGCAGGATGCCATTGGCCTTCTTGGTACCCAGGGCACGCTGCTGGCTCATGGTCACCCTGTTGTCCCCCAGCACTCCCAGTCCCTCTCCC